TTCAAAGTCTGAATCATCTTTGACTTTGAAACATGATTAAATGTATCTTTTGTATCAATAAAAACTGCAGTTGAGACCAGATCTTCATACTTTGCTATTTAAAAGTTATAAACAACTGAGAGAACAGTGTCAATTGTCAAGTATTATTTTCTATCTCTCATTTATTCACTAAATAGAAGAGAATTACTAATAAAGTATATAAAAAATAGTCTACTAGCTATTATATTTTCTGAAATCTTTTTCTGATAGTTTAATAAAGATATTACTCTATATAACTTAGAAATTGAATCTTCTCTATTAAATTTTACAAGAATCACTTCAGTGACTTCTCTCCAGCATTCAGAATAATAATCATTTTTCAAGACATTGAAAAAGAGCTCAAAATATTTATTCTTTAAGTGGAAATATGTATTTTGAATAATTAAGTGATTGATTGCATCAGGCTCTGCAGCAGTTTTAGTTCAACTTGAGAAGATAGCTGACTTTAATTTATCTTGAATTCTTGTATAAGTTTAGATTATTCTTAGTTATTTTTATTAATATAGTTATAAAGTGATATATTCTCTTTCTGTGAATCTGAATCTAATAAGTTTTGAAAGAGAATTCTCATGAAAACTTGACATTTTTTCTCAAAAGAATTTGCTGTATATAATTCATTCTAAAACTCATATTCTAAGACTGGAAGTTTTGCTACACTTCTTGTTTTAGTATAGTTGAAAGTTTTAAAAACTTTCTTTTCTTATACTTCTTCACAAAATTTGTTTCAGCAGTCTGTTTTAGCTCTTTTAATATCTGAAAAATATTCATTTCTGACAGTTTTGAACTCTTTATCAGATATTATATCATTCTTTCAATCTATTCTAGTAGTAGCTAATTGTTTTCTTTTACATGTAATATTCTCATTTCATCAAGATTTGAAATACTTAGAAGACTTTTTCTTTGAAATATTATCTATAACACTTATTAGAATAATAGATGTAATAAACTTTACTGTATTCTCAAGTATTTCATTTGAGATATCTTGACTGAGATTTCAATATAGCTCACTCTACTTTTCAGATTTTAACAGTTTTATACTTTCTTCAACTGCTTTTCAATCAGCTTTTTCAAAGTTATACTGATTAGAGAAAAGAGGATTTTCACTCATTTATTTTTCACTCAGTTCAATATTAAATTAAATAATCTCATGATCTGATTCTGATATCTCATTTGAATTAATAAATCAGTTTACAAGTCTTTTTTCAATTAGATTTTATGATATGAAGATTAGATATATAATAGATTTTTATTTCATATCTTTTCTACAGAATGTTTGTTGATCAGACTTGTTCACTAGATCTATTAAATGCTCAAAGATTTATTCAATCAGATTATCTACTCTTACTGCTCTTTTATATTCTGAATTTCATTAGAGATGATATGTATTGAAGTCTTCTATAATTATAGAGTTTCTTAACAGAGTTATGTTCAGAAATTCTCTATTAATTGTTCAGATATTATTATTTTTCTTCAATATCTTTTCATTATAGATATTTATAAGCTGTATAGTATTAAACTTATTCTCCTTATCTATAATATTACTCATTAGAATATCAGAGTCAGATATAATATTAAATCTTAGATTGAATTAATATCTTGATCTCTTTCTTTCATAAATCACTACTCTTGACTTTATCTCAGTCTTTTGAGATAGAAAGCAGTAGTAGCTTAAATGAGAGATAATATATTTTTGCTCAGTATTAAAATTCAGTTTCTGAAAAAGTATAAAATTAACTTTTTATTCAAATACAATTTGAAGATAAGAATAAATGGAATTTGAGTTTCTTTTCACATTGTTTTGAATAAATATGATTTTTAAAGAGTTTTTAAACTTTTTTTATTATTTTTATTATATATTCATACTAAAACAGAGTAGAGATATAGTAGAATCTAATCAGTATTATCAGATAGTTGATTATAACTATTTTAAAAAGTAGGAATTTCAACTGTTTGTATTATATCTAGTTTATTATCAGAGTCATTTCTCAATTCTCTAATCTTAACAGAAGTTTGAAGATTCAAATTCTATTTATATTTAAATGAAGAATTGAACTTTGAAGATTTAAATAGTTGAGAGTTTCTTCTTTTTAATCTTACAGTTGTAGATTTACTGACTTGACTATTCTCTTCAGTTTTAAATTGACTTTGAGCTTCATCTTTTCTTCAGTTCTTTTGAGTTCTTGAAGTAAATATAGATTCTTTTGAGCTAGATACATGTTTTTCTTTACAATTAGAGCATTTAAGCAGAGTGTATTAATATATTTCATCTCTTTTTAAGCATATTTCATATTTATGCTTACTAGTTTTGTGATCTCTAGCACAAAATACACATTTTGAGTCTCTAAAATAAGAGATTACAAAGTGTTCATATCTTTGACAGTTTGAACACTGTGTTTGAGCTTTGAGATTAATTCTTGAGTCTTTGTATTCATGAACTCTCATTTTTAAATCTGTCACTCTTACTTCAGAGATCTTTGATTATTTAAGTGTTTTTATATATACTAGAACAGAGACATTTCTTCTGCTTTATCTAAACTCAATTGAATTTAATTATACAGACTCTTTTCTCAGTTGAATAGAATTGTATTCTTCTAATTTATTTTTAAGAAGTAGTATTTCTTCTTCATAGTTAAAAATTTCAACTGAAATATCATGAAAAATGAATTTGTTTCACTTCTCATCTCTCTCAGATAGAATTATTGTGTTTAACAAAGATTTTACTGCTGATTTTCAGAGATTCTCATTCTGAATAAGAAATTCCACAATGAATTCAGACATTGTAGTCAGAATAATGAAGTTTTCAAAGAAGAATAACTCAATTGAGACTATAACTGATTTTTGAACTTCAATATCAGTCATTAACTGAGAAAAGAACTGCTGATTAATTTCATTTCTAATTCTGAAAATGAGATTTGAGTTTAGCTGTGATTCGGAAGAATGTACGACCGCCGGATAATAACGCGGCCGCTTTCAAACACGCTTACGAATGTAAAGAGGCCCTAGCGGCCACTAATTAATTTAGATAACATATATAAGAAACCGACGTATACCTGTAATTGTATACTAGCTCAAGCAACCTTTGAATCACATCTGATAGTATGTCTAAAAACTGGTAAGAAGTGCAGGCTTCTTCAGAGCATGATAATTCTATCTACAAAGTAATTTGTAGTTATCATGTCAGAGTAGTTCTAAATATCTCAAAAGATAGTATACAAAGAAGTGATGAGTGAAAGAGTGTTCAATTAATACTGCTCTACTTATTAAGAGAAAACTTCACACTCAGACAAATGTTATATATGCAAATACATGAGATGTGAGAAAGAGAATGTGAGTAGTGAATCAGATTCAAAGAAGATCACTCTCTATTCAGAAGAATAAAAGAGTGATAATCACTATCAGAGTTGTATAATAATAACAGAAAACAGAAATTAGAAATCATATAATAATGTAAGAATATAATAATATAATGATAGATATTATACAATCAATGAGAAATCACTGAAATGAATATCTTCCCTAGTTAATATAAATAACATTCTTCTCTACTATCTGAACTGAAAGATATACAGAACCTCTCAGAGAGTTTACTTAAAGCAGTAAGAAAAGTAGTCAAGACTATCAAATTAGAAGTAAAACTCTGTACATATATGAGAATTCTAAACAAGATTAAGACCTTGCATACACAGTGAGATCAAGATAAAAGTCAAGCAATAAATGATATTCACTGCAGATCAAGCATTCACTATAAAGAGCTTCACTGACATAATCATCACTATTAATAAGAATAGAAAAAATCAGGTTGTAGATCTGTAACAGAAGATTAAATACTTACACAGACAGATAACTGCACTGAATCTGAAGATCTCATCACAATCATTTATAATCTCTTTGAAAGTATACACATCATCTGAGGCTGCTGCATAGAATGAGAATCTGAGTATAAAGTATATCAAGTCAGAAGATCTGTTAGAGTTATCAAGCTTTAATAATACCTGAAAAAATAATGCTGTAATCAGCTGACTAAGTCAGATATAATCATGTTATCAGATTGAACATAAACTTACAGACAGACAGTTAACAGAATTTTAACAAGTCTTAAGATCTGTCATATTTCTATGCAGAAAAGTGAAGTTATTATAAATAACTAATAAAAAGATAAATCTCACAGATCTGAAGTAATATTCAATCTTATAAATATGAAATGAGTTTTTCAAATAAATCTTACACAACTTTGAGAAAGTAAATATGTGAGATAAGTGTTATAAATACTTCACTGAGTATAGATAAGTGAGTGATCTTACATCATACTTCACACACTTTAGCTTATACTATCTCATGTTGAATAAAGAGCTTTTAATATCTTTTTATTTATAGATCTTTGTTTATAATCTTATATCTGAGTTAAGAGTGAAATGAAAATACTTAACCTTGCAATCAGATATAATAAAAAAAGAAGCATATAATTAATATTCTCATTGTACAGAAATAAGTAAGTCAATTATAATAGAAAATACTGTAATTAAGTATGTCTCAGTAGAGAATAAGTAATCAGACTTCTATAATACAAGTCATACACTCAGACACAATGAATCTAGATTTAAATGTCATTGTTAAAGCACTGAATTCTCTGAAAAAGAGATTCTCTGAGTGAAAATCTTGATATTATAAGTATTAAGCTTGCTTCAACTGTGAATACTAAAATCATGATACAAAGAATTGTGATTAAAAGGTTGCTTGAGCCAGCCTACGATTACAGACGTACGCTGGCTTCTTATATACTGTACACTAAATTAATTGATGACCGCTATGACCCCTTTACATTGTAAGCAAGTTCAGAAGTGGCTATGTTATTATCTGATAATTGTACATTCTTCTGAACTACATTCTCTCTCACCAGATTCAGTCACACTCATGTGATCATGATGTCTGTCCTAGCTTCATGCGGATTAGCATATCACTAGTGTTCACAATTGTGTGATCTATTCCTGATTCAGCTAGTATTCTGTGTACACTCTTATAAAGAAACTTTCACTATATTACATCACTCATTTACTAACTTTTCTCATTCTTCAATCATCTTCTTCATTATTATTATCATTAAATATTATCATTCTATTCAAGATTTCTGCTTCTTCTTCTGTTCAGCATCTTCTATTCATTTATCTATTACATTATACACATTTCTGGTAATGACTTCTTGTTCTCATAATAAGCATCATTGTAGTGCTCATACCAGGCAGTTCATTAGCAGTAAATGTAATACATTGTGAAATGTAATCAGAACTTGTTTTCTTCTAACAATTATCAGAACATATTATCATGAATGACACATCTTCTTTATCTTCTTATACACTCTCAACTGTTTTTCTTCTCAGTGAGCTTTTAATCATGTTTTCTGACATGATTTTATGTGAACACAGATGCTGATGTTTGTTTGTATTTATATAGAATCTTCATATGTTGACAGATCTGCATCTGCTGATGATCATGATCTCAATGTTGAATTATTAATTGAGAACTTGAAGAACGCGATAATGAAGGAATTACTCATGTCATGTATGACCAGATCTCTCATGTTCTTCCCTCATGTTCTTCCCTGCTTCTTCTGCTACTTCTTTCTCTGCTACTTCTTCTCAATCTTCTACACCTGTCCCTGTGTCTGATTCTCCTGCTCTCACTACCTCTGTTTCTGTGACTCTTACTTCTGCTACTTCTGCTCTCTCTGATTCTTATCAGCTCTCCTCATTTCAAGAAGATATTATATAGACTTAATAAATCATGTTTCTCAGTATGTACACTCTCATTCTTCCTCTCATTCTTCTTACTGACTTCTAGAACAATTTATTATATGAAGACTGTGTATAATACAACTATCAAAAACTTGATTATAAATGCTGATTATTACATTCATTTTAAATATTTATGATAAGATAATTATTTATTTATATCAGAGAATTACTTCTCTCTTCAACAGTGTTAAGATTGTAAGTCTTTTTCTTTTTCATCTTTTCTTTCTGATACTGATTTTTCTGTTCTTAGAAGAAATTGTTATGAGTTTTATTATACATGAAGTTATAATGTTCACATATATCAAGAAACTCTTTATAACTGTAAAGTTTAATATTATAGAAATATCTACTCTGATGAATTTCTTCAGAATAATAGATTTGTATCAGTCTATTCTCTGACATCTGTTATCTGACTTTATAATGCAGATAATAGATCTGTATCAGTCTATTCTCAAAATACAGATATTATACTCATAATACAGATAAAAGATATCTGTGTTTTCAGAAATAAAAACACAGATATTGTATTCTTTTACACTCATAGATGTGAGACTTATACATCTTATCTGAGATATTATTATGAGAATGAGCTGTTTACATGCTGTGTTCTGCTTTCTGCATTTCTCTGTGTCTCTCTCTCTCTTTCTGAGAAGCCTTGTATGTGTTGTAATTATATATACAACTCTAAGATCAGTGAGTGTTCATTCAGTAACTGTTCTCACTTCTGATTTTACAGTTTTTATATACTAACAATGATTCTTAATTACTTCAGTATCAGAGATTATTCTAATCAAAGATGATCACACTGCTGAGACTACTCTCTTCTACTCTCAAGCTTCTCTCATCACTTTCTCTTCCTTCTCTATGAGAAAGATTGTGCACACATCAGATTATAAGTATTCAGTCTTAGATAACTTCTATCATTGTTTATTCAGTTCTACACTCTCTTCTTCTTCTATTTCTTTCATCTTCACTCTCTCTGTCTTGATTTCTGATTCTACAGATTCTGCACTCTTCTTCAATTTTTCTACACACACATGTATGCATTTCTATATTGATATTTCAGCCAATCTTGTGATAAATGATATTAATGTCATACACAGAGTGATAGAGAAATCAGAGACATGTATAATATTATTATAAGAGTGACTTACAGTTCTTGAATTTCTTATAAATCTTGAGTTTTGAGATTTTCTTTATTTTTAGTGTTTTTCAGATGATGTGGGGTTGAAAATAGATTAAATATGTGATATATGAAAATGAATAAAATATATATAATAATATTTATCTTTTACAGCTAACTCTTACAGTTGATAATCAATTCATTATCTCTTTTCTTTTCTTATGACTTTTTCTTTATCTGCTAGTCACTATTCTTACACAATCTCTATATAATACAGTGTTCAGTGACTAGGTTCAACAGCTTTCATCTTTTATGATTCTATCTTATATATTATACTGTCTCTCTTTACCTGCTCAGATTACTATAGTGAACAGTCTATTGAAACTAATCTCATCTGATCTCTGAGTGTTCTCAGAGATTGAGATGACTTGATCTCATATATCTGCAGATGTTTCAGATAGTTTATTCTCTGTTATCTTCACAATTGAACTGATGTAAACAGTTGAATTCAACTCTGAATTTCTTTTTCTTTCATAATCTGACTTATATATAAGTCTGCTGCTTTTAGACTGCTCTTTACTGTGTTATATTCACTATCTACAGTGTGTTATTATATGACTGACTACAGTCTTATCACTTATTGAAGTGTAATATTCATCTGATTTCTTTATTACTTCTCATTCTTTTCTTATACTTATGAAAAGATTGAAATAAGTGAGATCATCTGATTTATAAGTGTCTATAATTTCTCTTACTTTGTAAGACTTTTTAATTATAAGTCTCTTCTTTTTCAACACTGATAATAGTGCTATGAATAATTATAATTCACTCAGATCTTACATCTTTGTCTTTATAAGATATGAATTCTTTATTAAGTTATATAAGATCTGTCTCTCTGATTCTTTCAATGCATATGTTCTCAGAGAATGTGATTTGAGTATTTTATATAACTTAAATCATCTAGATTGAAACTTCTCAGAATTCTCATTATATACAAGAACTCATGTTCTCATCTTGAGACTTAATTCCTTGACTAGTGAGTCTTGTATTCTTTTTGATTGAATTGCTCAGTTCAGAAGTAACTTGTTAGCTTTTACACATGCATGACTGATCTCTTTCAATCTTGATTCTGCATCTGTGACTGTTGCATCTGCAACTGCTGTTGTCTTCCTCATCACTTCTGAAACATTCTTCAGAATGTGCGGATGCAATTCATACAATAGATAGAATGATGAACACTTAAAGACTGCATGCTGCTGAATTCATGTGACTAATAGTGTCTGACTGAGATATTTATCTCATAATCACATCAGCTTACTCACTAGATATTTTATCAGTATATTATTCAAGATTTCATTCAAGTATTTCATCTTTCTGTTTATCTGTGAATAATATAGTATTGTTCTATAATATCTTATCTGTAACTAACTCATGAAATGTCTCACTGCTTCTTCTATGAGATTCACACTATTATCAGTTAGAATCTCATGCAGTATTTCATAGTTGACATAGATCTCATTATGTAGAAACTTTGTCATCATCTTCTCTATTATCTCTGAAACTGCTTTTATAACTGATCAGTCAGTAGTGTAATCAATAGCAGTGATTATTCATTGATTTTTATTTAGTATTTATAATAATATATTTATGAGATTTATCTCTCATTATTTAAACAGTTGTATTATACACTTCATCTGATATTGTACTTTCTCACATTCTAATCCTTTCTTAGATTCTTTCACAACCTGGCAATTCAGGCACTTATGAGTGTACATCTGAATATTCTCAGTCATACTTAATCAGTATACTCTTGATTCAAGTATACTCATGAGTTCAGAGCTTTCTAAGTGACTGAATTTCTTGCATATACAAGTTATCAAGTCATATCTAAATGAATGTTCTGAATAGAGAGCTTCTGCATATTCTAGATTACAGTAAAGTATAATATCATTTTTCAATTTTCTCAGCTTGAAGTTTGAAAGTATCTCTTGTACTACTTTTGTGAGATACTTATTATCTGACATCTTATTATTCTCTAAGTAAGAGATTATTATATTCACTCATTCTGATTTCTTACACTCTCTCAGTATATTTAATATGAACTTCTCTTATATCTAGTTTGTAGAACTCTCACTTATGAAATTAAGTCTGTGACTGATTGTATCAGATATTACAGTGTTCAATTTCTTTCAGTATTTAATATGAAGATTGTACACTTAAAACTCTGAGATTCAACATGCTAAGTATTTGAAAGCTTTTATTATTAATTATCGATAGATAAGACTTTCATGATCTGTGATCACTGTTGTTGTATACTGATTATTGATATATCTATTTCATAATATCAGTGTATGCTTAATTACTAGCAATTCCTTTTCATACACTGAGTAATTAAGCTCAGTGTCTGATAGTTTTCTATCATTGTATATCACTGAGTGCAGCTTGCTGTTCTTACTCATCTGTAGAAGAGTATCTTCAATAGCTCATTCAGATGCATTTATCTTGATATAGAAAGATTTATTATAATCTGATTGAATAAGTACTGAGAATGTTATTACATATTCTCTCAGTGTGAGAAAAGCCTCTTTTCATATAGTATTTCAGATCATTGAATGAAACTTCTTCTTTTACAGATTTGTATTCATTTCTCTTAAGAGATCTGAGAGTGATGCAGATATTCATGTAAAATTCTTGATGAATCTGTGATAATATGAGATCAATTTAAGAAACTGTTGTACATAGTATATGTTTCTCAGTCACAGTTAATTCACTATAACATTCAATTTCTCTAGAATGAGATGTATATAGTTATCACTCACTACATATTCTATGAACTTTAACTCTTTCATTTCAAATATACACTTTGTTGATTTAATATAGAGCTTATACTCTATCAGAGTTATAAATACTTTATTAACATGCTTCAGATATTTGTTATATGAGTTTGAGAAGACTAGAATATTATTGAGATAGATAAGATATATAATTTCATTCTATTTATAAAGAATTGTATTTATTATCATTTAAAAGATAACAGATACATTTGTCAGACTGAATAATATTATCAGAAATTCAAACTTTTCTCATTGTATATTAAATATGATTCACAGGACTGACAGTTCATCTACACAGATCTGTCAGTATTCTGAAAGAAGATTGATTTTTAATAGATATCAGACATTTTTAACTGTATTCAACTGTTATTGAATCTATGACAGTGAATATTCATTCTTGATTATAAGCTTATTAAGTGTTTAATAATTGATATATATTCATCACTTCTCATCTGCCTTTTTCATGAACAGAACTGAAAAGCCTCACATGCTTGATGAGAAGTGTATAAGACTATGTTCTAGAAGGTCTGTGATCTGACACTTCTATTCTTTGAGATGTGTTTGTGACAGAGAGTATGCATTCTGATTGACTGGTTTCACATTCCCTGTGTCAATCTTATGTATGAATCCTCATTTCAGTGATAATTTTAGTGAAAGATCTGTTTGAAAGATCTTCTCATGCTTCTTCAGAAGCTTCTTCATATGCTTGTTCTTCTATATATTCTTTATCTTGGTTTTCTCTGCTTCTGAGTTCTGTATAACATACAGAATGCTTTTAGATGAGATCTTATGAATTATTCTCTTTACTTATTGATGTATAAGCAGATTTAATTCTTCTATATCAGAGCCATGGAATATTCTTCTCATATCAGTTAATAGAATTGTATGAACTGTTTTCTTCCTATCAGTCAACTGTATATAATATGTACATCATTGAATCTGCAGATTGAATCTTTGAAATCAATTGAGTCTGAGAATAAGATTGTATTTCATGTTCTACAGCTCTTACACTTAAATATAGCAACATCATTCTTTGAAGTGTAAGAGAACTCTTACTCTTACAGATAATATCAAATATTAGTTATCAGATAATCTTATACATCAGAGCTTCTTCACTCAGTAGATTTCTTTCAGTCTTCAGATTATATAATTACTAATATATTATATAGAAGCTTCTATATCTACTAACACTTTTATAGTCATCTCTCAATTCTTACTCAAGTGTCTCTTATACATTAATATTTCAGGTCTTAAGGCATTGAGATGAGTATTCACTTCATTCTTACTCACACTTCATTCAGAAGCCTGCTTTCTCTTGATATTTACAGAATTCAGAGAGTTATCTAACATGAGCATCTCTTTCATCTTAAAGACTTTTTATAGAATATTAGTGAGTATCTCTAAGCTCACTAATTCTACTAGTTTTTTAACTCTCTTACTTCTTTTGACTGTGCATGCTATATGCAATCTTTTATATCATGATTTTGACATTCATAGTTGAAGCAAGCTCAATACTTATAATATCAAGATTTTCACTCATCAAATTTCTTTTTCAGAGGATTCAGTGCTTTAACAATAACATTCAGATCTAGATTTATTATATCTGAGTGTGTAACTTATGTTATAGAAGTCTGATTATTCATTCTTCACTGAGATATACTCAATTACAGTATTTTCTATTATAATTGACTCACTTATTCCTGTATAAT